TTCCTCTTGTAGGGTTAGAGGAGGTCAGAACATGTGGCCTCCATGCCATTTTTGCACTGCTGTAGCCCCTTCACAAACTACCAGGAAGGCACTCCCCTGACATTGGGTTAGGCAGCACCCCTCCTGATACCAACTGTTGGTTTCACATCAACCCACCATACATTGATTACTTACTGGCTTCCTTCTGCTTCCTTCTGAACAGAAGCTGATATCATGTTCTTCTGGCTCTTACTGAGGATACCTTGCTAGTTAGTTTTGTTTTAATTCTGCAAATAGGCTTTGGTCTTGCTATCTAGTTGCTCTGTTTTTAAAAGGGGATTCAAAGAGACTAAAACACTATGTCACTGCTCCTGCTGCTCCTGCTATATTCCAAATTTTGAGAGCATATTTTTAAGGTCCTTAGAATTTTTCTACAGAAAATTTTCTTGGAACAAAATACCTTAAACATCTCACAACATTTTCAAAGATAAAAAAGATGAAACAGAAGAAAATGGATCCATCTTGTCTGCTTACCTCAAGAAGTCTGAACAAGCGGAATCTTATTTCATAATCGGTCCACAAGACTACGAAAAAGGCATTCAGTGAGATGGTGCTGATCATAATCATCTTAAAGAGAGAACCTGCCAGGAATCTCTGCACAAAAGCCTGAAACTCAGTATCTTTCCTCCTGTCAAAAATTTGAATAAGAGGTATGGTTACCTTCAACAAAGCTAGATGTACATACAATACACACATTTTTATAGGGGATGAAGTTTGCTTTCCCCCTTCTGTGAATATAAATATGCAAGTACTTTCAAATAGCAAGAAAATGCTGACAGACCACTGAAATATGATGATCATCTGTGATGTGTCCCCACTCAGTTACTCAGTTCCCACCTCCTGAACCTTGCAAAAGGAATGGTTACCACTCATTTCCAAGGGAGAAAAAGAAAACTTCATTTTCACTTACTCATTCAACACATTTTTCTTAAGTGACTACTATGTGCCAGGCGATGAAAGGCACTGGGGATACAATGTTAGCAAAACTAAATATTGTCAGTCTAGTGGGAAATGCTAATAATAATAAAATAATCACCCATATAAGCCCTTAAAAACTCAGAGGTTTAAAACAAAAAAAACTGAATACCCTAAGAGAAAATGGGCAAACATACCAGCAACTCATTCATGAAAGAAATACAAATGGCCAATAAACTTAATAAGAAATGTTCAGTAGCACTACTAATCAAGGAGCTACAAATTAAAGAAAACACTTATTTTTGCTTAAAAAGTTAGCTAAGACTTACACAAGATAATAGTTAATGCTGCTAAGAGTGTAGTGTGATAGGGCATTCTCATAAACTGCCAGGAAAAGGTGAAAGACACAAACTTTCTGAAAAACCCCAAAATTGTTCAGATCCTCTGACCAGTAATTTCCTAAGAATCTATCTCAAGAGAATCAAAATTCTCTCAAGAGAATGCAGAATACAATCCAAAATGCAGACAGTGATGTTAGCCCAAGATGTTATCACAGCATTATTCAAAGCAGAGAAAATTTGAAAACAATTTAAAAGACTAATGAAAAGAACTGCTTACATAAATTATGGCATAGCTAGATCATGGAATAGTATACAAATATTAAAATATGTCTATATGTGTTTAATTATTTAGAAAAATGCTTAATGTATTGTTAAGCAAAATGTAAAACCTGTAAAATAAGATACAAAAAGTCTCTACCCAAAATGACATCAACTGTGTAAAAATGGATAGGAAAGGGGAGGGAAACTCAACAGGAAATAAGCCAAATGCTGGTGTCTCCATGTGGGTGGTGAAGTTATTTGTTGTTGTTGTTGTTATTTGCCATCGAGTCGGCCCCGACTCATAGCAACCCCTCCTTGGGTTTCCAAGGCAGTATCACTACGGAAGTAGG